TTCCTCTGTGATTTGAGTTGACATATGAAGATACCCTACCTCCCATCCTTAGGAACATTTTTAAAATCTAAGACAAATCAGTAATTCAATTTTCCCCATTGCCCATAAGAAAACCAGTCTGATATAGAAGATGATTCCTTGGTTTTGAAAGCTTTTTGGTCTTGCCCTGGCCAGTTTTGCTCAGTGGTTAGAGCGTCGGCCCACAGACCAGAGAGTCCAGGTTTGGTTCCCGCTAAGGGCACGTTTGTCCTCGGCCCCAGTTGGGGTCATGTGGGTGGCAGCGACTTGATGTGTCTCTCTCACATTGTTTCTCTCTCTCTCTTTCTCCCTTTTTCCCTCTTGCTCTATCTAAGATAAATGCAGAAATGTCCTTAGGTTAGGATTAAAAAGAAAAGAAAGAAATCCCTCTGAGCCTGGCCGGTGTGGCTCAGTGGTCGAGCATCAACCCATGCACCAGGAGGTCGCCGGTTCAATTCCTGGTCAGGGCACATGCCCAGGTTGTGGGCCTGATCCCCAATGGGGACATGCAGGAGACAGCCAATCGATGTTCTCTCTCATCAATGTTTCTGTCTCTCTCTCCCTCTCTAAAAAAAATCAATAAAGAAAAAACAAATTAAAAAAAGATTCCTCTGGAATTGCATCTGTACATAGGTGGCTGGTGAGGAAAAGGAAAGTGCTGAAGTTCGATACGTTATTAGAGATAACATGATGAAGAAGTGGGTGCTAGAAAGAACAGCAGGCAAAAGTTGTTGAAAGGTGAAGGGAGCGTATACCTGAAGAAAAAAAACTACAACTAAGTTGAGGTTTTGTATAAGTCACTCCTATGTATTAGGAAAAGAATAAATTTTGAGTCCTCTGGCTGGGCAATGGGGAAGGAGCTCTTCCAAGAAATTGTAAATATAGAATTGATTGAAATTCATTTTTATTAACTCAGAAGTCCTCTCAACTTTTTGCCTCCTTACAGAAACACGAGGCTTACCATTCCAAACCTTCTTTACATTGATGGCAATCCTATCTTTTTAGTATTATACAACATTAGTAGTTCAGACTCCGTTCTCAGATAACATTGCATTTTTTTTTTTTTTTTTTAGGATCTAGGGGAGATAAAGAATGATTTTCCTTTCTAACTGATAAGGAGCTAAAAGCATTTTTCTCATATCTTTCAATATACTTTTCCAAAAATTTATGTCAAACTGAAAGATTTCCTAAAGACTGAAATGGTGTGAGATTTAAACACACACACACACACACACACATTTCTGGCTAAAATAGACTTGAGTCTATTTGACATAAAATAAGTATATTGAGTAGATTTAAAGCATTTGGGCAATGAGTTTGGTCTCATTATATAACTTTTATTTTCTGACAAGTAAAAGCAGACTCAGTGATTTCTAGACATAGATTTTTTATTAGAGTGAAACTGCAGTCGGAATTTACCATGGGAACTATGTTTACAAACTAAAGGAGGTAAAGCTTAATAGGACTAACTATGAGTGTGTGGAATCTTGACACTAGGGAATGCTTCCTGAAGACAAATAAGAACACTCTGTGCAACAACTCAAAGTCCCCAATCAGCACCTTGATCAAAATCAAAGCATCCTTCTGAATGTTTCATTACGTTTCTAAGGGCACAAAGAGTTTGAGGTTTTCACACTTTATAATCCAATGCAAACTTATTCAAGATAATCACTTTCTTTCATTTCTTGCTCTCCCAATTAATTCTTAAATTTGCTCCTTTAACTTCTTAACAATGCCAAGGAAGTCTACTTTCTGAATAAATGGGGGGAGGGGCAGAACATATATATGACTTACGTAATATCCTACTTGATTTGTAACAGATGTGAGAACAGAGTGCAAATTTTGATTTCTATCCTAGGTCTTGGTGTCTAGCAACACTCTCCGTCTGAGTTTTATTGCAGAAAATCAAGAGCTGTATCAGAAATGAAATGACCTCTACAGAAACAGTCATTTATACAAAATTAGCATCTCCCAATTGGTAAGTTCTGTGGGTGGCCCTTTCAGAGGAGAAAGAGGTTCAGAAGACACAGATTAGTTGTGACATTGAAAGTAAGGTCTACCTATGACTTTCCTCCATACCCACTGTGGTAGGCAGAATTCTAATATGACCCCAAAATGACCTTTGCCCTTGAATAACTTTTTCTCCTTAAGTGTAGGTAGACTATCTGATTATATTATATGGCACAGTTGACCCTAACCTAGGAGAGATTATCCCAGTGGGCCTCACCTCAAACAAACCCCTTAAAAGCAGAGAGTTTTCTCTAGCTGGTTGCAGAGAAAGAAGTCAAAAAGATTTGAAGCACAAGAACTATGTAACACCTCTCTGCAGGTTTTAAAGATGGAGGTGCTGCCCAGCCAGTGTGGCTCAGTGGTTGAGTGTCGACCCATGCACCAAAGGGTCGCTGGTTTGATTCCCGATCAGGACATGCCCAGGTTGTGGGCCCGATCCCCAGTTGGGGGCATGCAGGAGGTGGCCAATCGATGTACTCTCTCATCGATGTTTCTATCTCTCTCCCTCTCCCTTCTTCTCTCTCTCTAAAAAAAAAAAAATCAATAAATAGAAAAAATAAATAAAGTAAGTAAATAAAGATGGAGGGGCTGACTGAAAGAACTTAAGAGTAATCTCCAGGAGCTGAGAGCAACCCCCAGCCAGCAATCAGTAAACAAACAAACAAACAAACAAACAAACAAAAAACCAGGAACCTCAATCCTAAAACCATGAGAAATAAAATTCTATTAACAACCTTAATGAGCTCAGAAGTGAATTCGCCCTCTGATCTTCTAAGGGAAAAAGCAGATTAGCTGACATTTTTATTTCAGACTTATAAGACCCAGCACAGCCCAGCCCAGCCCACTCGATGTTGACCTACAGTGAAATATTTTAAAATTTAGTTAATTTTTTTAAAACATGTTGTTTTAGGCCACTGCTTTGTAGCAATTTGTCATGTTGCAATAGAAAGTTAATACAGCCCTTTATTAGAGACATTGAATTTTAGAACCATATATATATGTTCTGTGATGTAACACAAATAACTAATAGACAACTTGAAACTGAGAGAGAAAACTAGCTAATTCATTGAGAGTTCAGGTCTAACAGGTCCGGAGGATTTGCATCTTACCAAGTATTATAGTTTAATATTTGAGAAAAATGTTAATATGTGCATGGATGTCTATCTTTCAGAAAGCTTGAAATACATTGCTAACAATGATTGTCTAACATCCTCCAACAAGTATTCTGTGATATATTTTGTAGCCTTTGAATTCTTTTCTTTGGTTCTGATACCTATGTATAAAGAAATACCCAGATACCCTTATTAGGTCATAGCAATTTAAACTAACTTGTAAGAGGCAAACTCTCAGATCTTGTCGTCATGAGCCAATGCCATCGCTTTTGGAAAGCCACTAAAGAAAATGGCTATCGGAATCCTATAAATCAGACTCCCTATTTTCCAAGCCTAGTTTTCATTTTCACTGGTTCATGGAAAAAATTCATTCAAGAAGACAAACAAAGCTGCATTTTCATTCATTCAATAACCCAGGCAATTCATTCAATTGTTCATTCAACCCACAAGTACAGTATTAAATTGAAATATTTAAAATATAAAATAATAAAAATATGCCTGCCAGATTCCTCCTGATACTCCTTAGAGCTAGATGAGGCAACACACGTCTTTGCTTGCATAATGCGATAGCATCCCTCACTGACTCCTCACTGGTCTCCTAAGTGCCTGTTTATGCCCTGTCTCACCTATTGGAGTTCCTTGAGCATCTTGTTCACTGCGTACTTCATTGACCTGGCCCAGTAGCAGGTACATTGTATTTATTCAATAAATATTTGTTGAAAAAATAAATATCAACTGCTGTGCTAGATACTGGGTATAAAGATATAAAAAAAGCATTTTGTTGCTTAAATAGTTCAGTCTCCAAGCGCACATACTGACCAGAAGAACATTGTTACAGACTATGATCGTTCCTGTGCAAGAACTATGAATAAGGTGTTTGGGGCACAACTGAACAGTCTGGGGAATGATCATAAGTAGTGAGCAGCAGCTAGCCAGGTAAAGGAAAAGCAAATAGGCATTCCAGGAAGAGAAGGCAGCATGAACAAATGTGGCCAGCGGAGGCAATCACAGAAATATAGGTGATTCACCATGTGAGGATGGTAGAGAGAGGGGTTCATAGTAAGGGATGAAACAAGAGATAGGTAGAAGGCAAGTCATCAAGGTTTTAGTAAGTATGGTGAGGAGCTTGGACTTTGTTCTCAGGATAATAGGGAACCAACAACAAATTCTGAACTGGATACGCACAAGAGAATAAAACCTGGTGCCCACAGTGACGGCATTTAATGCTTGTCAATTTCTGCAAGAAAGAAGAGGGGATATCCTGGCAGAAAGACAAAGGTTACTAGAAGTCAGGGCCCAGGAATATACAGAGACGTACGCCACAGAGCAGGTGTGGCCCAGGATCTGATCATTTGGCTCTATCCAATCCTTGGACTAAGCTTCAAAGTCAATACTCCTGCTTGGGAACATGCAAAGAGCAAAAAAAAAAAAAGATCCCAGTTTGTCAGAATGGGGCATGAACTCAGGTTCAAAAGAAGAAATTACTTGTTTTTTTTAGATCTAAATGAAGTACAAAGTAGAGGGGGGTGATTATTCATAAGAACAAAATAGCACTCATTCACCAGAACTGAGGCACGTGGTCAAGAGAGCTTCCTAGCAATGATGACTACTAAAGCAAGGTCATATGAATCCTCCCCATTCATACCAGTGATCTTCTGTTGAGAAAAAAATAATCCCAAAAGTTAGAAGACTAAGACAATAACCACCGATTGAAGTTCATTCCGCGGGTCAGCTAAGTGTGTGCTGCTCTCTCACTGGGTTCACTCCTGAGCCTGTGTCAGTGGCCATCCAGCTAGGTGGCTGTGCTGCTGGGGCATGGCTGGCTTCTGGCTGGACCCAAGGTCTCTCATTAATCAAAAGAGTGGCCCAACTACGTGTCCATCCTGCTGCAGAGCGACAAGAAGCTCACCCAGGGACCAGTCTCCAACAGTCAAGTCCTAATTCGAAGCAGAGTCCTCAGGGAAAACGGAAGACACATTCCCAAACAGTCTCTCCTGACACGAAAGGAAGATAGTACCTTCTTCTCCTATGACTGATCCCACTATGCTCACAGATATGATGAAAGGCAATGTAACAGATGTTCTCCCTATGATTCTTATTGGTGGATGGATCAACATGACATTTTCAGGCTTTGTCACAACCAAGGTCCCATTTCCACTGACCTTCCATTTGAAGCCTATGCTACAGCAAGGAATCGAACTGCTCACATTAGATGCATCCCGGGTGAGTTCCACATCCTGGTACTTCCTCCATGTCTTTGGGCTTCGGAACATTTACTTTCTGACTTTGGGCCAAGATAATGCCGCTGACCAATCATGGATGGTGCAGGAGCAGGTGACTGGGGCAGCCATGGCCATGCCCACAGACATCAACAAAGCTTTCAAGACAGAGCGAGAAGCCTTGGAGCTGACAGATCACCAGTGGGCCCTAGATGATGTCGAAGAGGAACTCATGGCCAAAGGTTTCCACTTTGAAATCATGTTCAAAAAGGAATTACAGACCTCTATTATTTGAAGACCAAGCAGGAATGAGCTGTGTCAGGAACTCAGAGTATCGCTTAACCTTGTAGCTTTCATTTGAGCAGGAGCCTCCCAGAATAAAAAGGAGGATGCATGAGCTGGTGGGTGTGCAGCAAGGATCCTTCTTGTCTGAGCCGGTTCCCCTTTATGTTTGAAACTAGAGGAAATACAAGGACTGTGTGTTGGGTGACTTACCCAGAAACAGCTATGTTAAAAATGTTTTAATTTTTCCATCTGATGACTCTAGTCATAAAAGTCAGAGAATGGGGGGTGGGGGGGGTTCAAGCTAGTGATAACTTATAAAACTTAGCAAAAAGACAGTCTTTGGAAAAGGCATTGTCAATTATACCTAATTATGTGTAGTAAGCCTGACTTCTAACCACAGTAAACTCCTGTTTTCTTGGGATCCAAACACCCTGCATTTTCCTTTTAATTTTTTGTTAGTATTTTTATAACTTTCTTTACACAAATAATACATTTTCATTACGGAAAATTTAAGAACTATGGATAAATCTCTCTGTTGTTCATTTTGAGCCTACAGAATGACAGAAAGAGCAAATGTGTCAAAACCTTATTCAGATTAACTTTTTTCAGACTGAATGCCCAGGGCCAGGACAGACTTAACAAACCTTCACTATCTCATAATACTGTCCAGTGAAAATTAGTGGCCATGACACTGCCGGATTCTCAAGTGCCTTTGGTATCATTAAAGACAGGTTACATAATGTGAGGTCTTGATCTGGAGTTCAGAATATATCAAATCCACTGACAAATCAATGGTGCTAGACTGTATATGGCTTCGCAGTGAAATGAAAGACCGCATTTCCCAGTTATTCTGCATAAGGCAGAGTTTATATATCACTGTAAGAAGGGAGGGAGGGCAGTTGGTGGTAGACACGTAGTTAAGGGTTGCCCAGGAATAATTCTGCCTGGGTTAGCTCCCAGGAAAGTGGCAGGGTACCATTTCTGTACCAAGAGGTGAATGTAATTTGCATGTTGAATGTTGTAATCAAGAACAAACAATTCTTGACTTTAAAAATTAAACCATCCTGTTTTCTCTTCTTTGCCTGTAAAAAAAAAAAAAAAAAAAAAAAAAAAAAAAAAAAAAAGACTAGCCCAGGCTTATTCTCAAGGTTGCCCAGGATTCCTAAAGAAGAAGAAGAAACATGAAGAATCTCTTGACATCCAGGCTCGGAACTCACACAGTTTGTTTCTACTTCCTAGTGTCTAAAACAAGTCAGAAGACCCGTTCAAATGCATGGGGTCAAGAAATAAACACTCACTTGATAGAAGGAGTTACAAAATGCATTGCCAGGGCATGGAAGCAGGAGAGCAGTTTCTGAGGCCATTAAAAAAAAAGTCTTCCACGGTATTTAAGAAAGGACTAGGCGTAGATGTTCAAAGGGGAAGACTGTTTAGCTGGCTATAGATAAAAAGCAGAGTCAAGCAGTCTAGTCCAGACAGGCCTGTCTGCACCTTGCGCTAACCTAATCCAACTGAAATACATTTAGATTCCTATGGAGTCCTTGGCATGTTTGAAGAAGATTTAAGGCCTATAAATAAATCCCTCTATATAAGAAAAAAAAATTTTCATTTCTCATTAGAGAAACATAACTTTTTTTATTGTTACCTTTAAAATAGTCTGAAAGGAATGTGATACAGAGAAAGTTTTAAAGTGGGGAAAAGAAGATTAGGGATGAAGGGAAATGCTATTCTAGTGCCTTAACCCTCAAACCGTAGTCCATCAGAATAGAAGCGTGACAGTACCTGGATGTACACTAACACTGCAGAAGCACGGGACCTCCCCAGACCTCCTAAAACAAAATCTGCATTTTAACCTGAAACCCAGATAATTCCTATGTGCAGAATCCTATGGGGTTTATGGTACAAAGACCAAGCTTATCCTGTGCATAAAAGTTTGAAAATCACAGACCTTAAGGGAAAGCTGAGTAGATAGTTTCACTATCCACAATATACCAAAATGCCTCTAACACTTGTGAGTGTGTGTGTGTGTGTGTGTGTGTGTGTGTGTGTGAAAGAGAGAGAGAATTAGAGTTATAAACTACCAGAAGGAAAGTCAGAGTAATGTCATTGCCAAACCACTCATTTTACAGTTTTATTTAGCAAAAAAAAAAAATTTATTTATTTTGCTAAATAAATTTGATCATACCACATTCACATTTTTTTGTTACATATGGATTCAAACAGTTGGTAGAATGGAAAGGGCAATGGTTTTACAATTTGGAGACCTTTTTCCAAATTCCAGCTGTGTCGCTTACTAAGAAGGTTAATTTTATCTTCAAGGACTTCATTTAAACATTGGAGCTATGTCCATCAGGATTCACTGCAGAGAAACAGGAAGCCCTCTGTGTTTCCAGGCACAATTAGACTTGCTTCAATTCTCCGCGTCTCTGCCATGATCTCATCATTAGCAGAGTGTGTGTGCTGCAACCTTGAGCTTTCCTCCGGGGACTCCTGGAGTCACAGCACGGACCCTTACCCAAACCTGAACAGAATACACAAACACAGAAGCAGTGTAGTTCTGTGCTAGAGTCCAAAACCACCGTTAGGGAAAGCCTGTATACATTTGTCAACATTATTTATTAAAAAAAAAAAATACACATATTGATGGCATACACCTGGTTTTTATTGTGTTATCTGAGTTTCTCTTATTGAGCATGATCACACAGTCTGTTTTAACTCTGTAATCAATGGGGTATAAAACACCTTTCTTCCTCAGATGAGAATAGCTTCTTTGAAACTAAGGCATTTCCCTTGTATCTTGGGGTTTATGGTCCAAAGACCAAGCTTATCCTGTGCAGTCTGGTTCTAACATGCCTGTGTATTCTTTCTCCTGCTTCAACATTATTAAAACTTTACATGAATATATTCTGCAGAGTCTCTTGAGTCTTTTCAATAATTTGAACACCTGTGATTAACACCAGACGTGTAACTTCTCCACGAAGTACGCTCCACTAGCTCTTAGCTTTGAGACTGGCCACACAAGTTGCATCGACCAGTGATATGTAGACAATAGTGACAATCTACAGCTCCGAACCCAGGATTTAAGAGATCTTGCATGTTTCTCTGCACCCTTGTGTGTCTGCCACTGCGAGAAACAGACTCCTTGCCAGCTAGGTAGCTGCTGCCTCTTCTACCTAGATCCAAGATTGAACATACATGAAATGCAGTTGCCTAAGCCATGCCCCGCTGAACGGACAACTCGGAGCAGAGCCACAATGCCAAGTCCAGCTTAGGTCAGCCAACCTCAGACAAACTGCAGATTCATGAAAAAAGGAGGTCACTGATGCTTTAAGCCCCTAAATTCTGGGTGGCTTCTTAAGCATTTGTGAATAAATAGCTAACTGGCACCTATCTGAATGTAGAAATTAAATGCTTACAAACTTGTTGGAAGGCTGGGAAACCACTAAACTTTTACGATGCTCAGAGAAGATGCCGTCCAGAGGTTAGGACACTGGTATGAATACCCAGGTGTCAGAAAGCTTCAGGAAAACCCTTCTCTACAGCTCCAAACCAGTAACTGGCAGGAACACGGGGCAGAGGTTTTACTATATAATTTGATTCATGACAGGGCAAGGAAAAGGTGTGGGTTGATTTGAGATGTGGAGAAGAAAAGGTGTGAGAAAAGCTGAGGAAGTGATAGAGACTGAGTAAAGGAGTCCTATAATGAGGTCGAAGCCAGGGCTTAATAAAGGAAATCCATTCTGGGAAGGAACTGAATGGCAAAATTCAGGATATTTGATATTATTTTCATTTGTTTCTTTGCTTTGTTTAAATCCTTAAACATCTACAAAACCTACAACAAAAGATTGTTACACAAGAGCCTGTGTTATACTGTAAAGAACAGAGATGAAGAGGCCACTTGAAGAATTTAAGTGGGACAGCAGCCTGAGGAAGTATCTTAACCGATAGGAACCAATTGACCCCCTTTCTTTTGTGGTCAACACACTGTGGCCCGTGTATAACGCTGTGTGCCTGAAACTTACATAGCGTTATAAACAAATGTCATCTCAATTTCAGAAAATAGAACTGAGATAGGAAAAGAATTCAAGGCTAAAAGTGAAGGAAAACCACTAAGTGCCATCCTTAGAGTCCTGAAAAATGTAAGCAAGGGATTTGCACTCTCCATCTTTACATGATGGAATCTGAGCTATTTCACTGGGACACTGAAGGTGAGAGAGGCTTCAGGATATGGAGACACGGGGACTGCTGGACTGCTTACAGCTACTAGATGCACGAGTAATGAAGGAGAATGGGTTCCTGTAGGTCAGACGTGCTTGAGGACCTACGGACTGTTTCTTGTCCTTCACCCCCTATCGTTATACAGAAGAAAAATCGAAACATACATTCGAGTAGTGTTTATTTTATTGATGATTGAGGCATGGAAAGTACCAGAAATACCAGAAGATAATTTAAATTTGTCCCATGAGGTAGCCAGGATTAATCTAGGGGTCACATAACAGATAGCTTTTCTTTTAAATTACTGCCTTAATTAATCTTACCTCATCTGATACTTAAAAAAAAAAAAAAGTCCTAATTGCCTTAGACAAGCTTTAAACTGGGAAAGGTGAATCTTATAAGATTTCAGGCCTTCTGTAAGAAAGAAGGGCATTTTGAACATTCATTAAAAAGCTAGGAAATACAGCCAGATGGACGTGCCATCAGAGAGTATTATGCTAAGCAAAATAAGCCAGTCAGAGAAAGACAAGTATCACATGACATCACTTGTATGTGGAATCTAATGATCAAAATAAGCTGATGAATAAAATAGAAATAGAGGCATGGAAACATGGAACAGATTGACAAACCTCAGAGGGAACGGGGGAGGACGGGCAGGAAGAAACTAACCAAGGAATTTACATACATATATGCATTACCCATGGACACGGACTATAGGGTGGTAAAGGGATGGGCAGGACAGGAACTGGAGGAGGAGGACAAGGGTGGGGAAGGATATCTGTAATACTCTCAACA